CGCAATATGGTTCATGGGGTCACGAAGAGTCGGACACGACTTAACGACTAAACAACAACAACAAATGTTCACCACCTTGAATTATATATAAAGCAGCAGCATAAAAATGTAATGAAAATATAATAGGCTTTTGAAAGCATGTATGCAGCATCTTTGCATATGCATAACATTACATTTACAAGGGTAAAATGCAAAATGATGCCTCCATCTCCATAATTTCAATTTAAATAGGGATATTTTAATAAATAAGGAAAGTAATCCTTGAAATGAGCTCTTTTATAACCTGCATTTACTTCTCCACATAATCACCACCATTTGCTACACACTTCTGTCGACAATGGACAAATGTCTTAAAGCTGTCGTTGAAGAACTCCGTGGTGGTCCTGACAGTCCTTTTCTACCTCTTCATTTGAGTTAAACAAATGCCCATGAGATATTCTTTCCATTTTGGGAAAAGGTGGATGGTGCCAAATCTGGACTGTATGGCAAATGGCGTATAACAGGGAGATCCAACTTCACAGTTGTTATTATTATTATATTGTTATTTCCCAACTTTTATATATTTGGTCAGCTCAAACGGCAAACATACTCAATACTCCTGCCTCCTATTTTCCCACAACAACCCTGTGAGGTAGGTTGGGCTGAGAGAGAGTGACTGGCCCAAAGTCACCCAGTTAGTTTTCATGCCTAAGGGAGGCCTAGAACTCAGTTTCCTGATTTTTAGGCCGGCACCTTAACCACTACACCAAACTGGCTCTTGAGTGGCTTGTGGGGTGTGAGGCCTAGCACTGCCATACAAGTTCTTCATGTGTCTCTGAACTCTGCTTAATTGTTGTTTCAAAGTTTTGAGTGTTGCAATGCAGTACTCTGAGTTTATAGTGATGCCAAGTTCACCATGTGAATAACATCATCTATATCCTAAACACCTATAACTGTGAGTTTTCCTGCTGCAACCTGGGCTTTTCATTTTTTTCCCTAAAGGTAAATCTTTATGATGATTTCCCATGTACTGACACTTTATTTCTGGATCATAATAACGAACCCATGTTGTTGTAACAGCACAGCTGTTACAGTGCTGTGAAGAAATTCCTTACATTCATTTTCATAGGATGACAATTGCTGACAATTGTTGAAGCTTTCATCTCTGCTGTTGGCATGTAAAAAACCCATCGAGCATGAACTTTCTGGTACTGAAAAACATCAAGAATGTGATACACATGGTCCTGGGAAATACCAAGTTTGACCAAATACCAATCATAGAAATACCAATTTCTCTTTGAGTGATCCACCAGCTGCCCTTAATCAGTTCATCAGCTTTTCTTATATAAAACTCGATGGTTGCTGCCAGATTGTCTACTTTGTTTTTGATCACACAAATTAGCTCTTTACCATCTTTACATTTTTTGGCCCAGTGATGCATAGCACTGATGTCAGCACTCATCACCAAAAACAACCTGCATCCATTGGTGAATTTCAATTGGAGGGATTCCTTCAGCAGTCAAAAATTCAATCACAGGTCATTGCTCAAGTGCAGTGATTACTTCCATTTCATGAACAGTAGCGACACAGCCTTTTCTCATACTTCCCACCAACTGAAGTGAAAAAAGAGATGTTAAAGTACATGTCAGAGCTTCTAACGCATCAGTACTGCCTTCTGTTGGCAACTTATAACATTGGAGGCATTTGTTTTCATTCAGCCCTCATCTTACAGGGCTGGTCTGCCCCATCTGGGCTGCAAAACTCAGGTAACCATTAGATGGTGTCAAACAGTTGGAATTGTTTGCCAGTCTAGAATGGGTAGTCCTGACATTACTATTAGTTTGTCTGCAACAAAGATTAGATTTTGGAAACATTTTGGACCTAGGAGGTAGAGGGGAAAGGTAATGGTAGCACAAATTATGTGGAAGATGCCAGATTGTCAGTCCTTGGTATTAGAGTACCTTCCAAATCATAAAAATGCTCTTTCCCTTTTGATGTATATTAAATATTTTTACAGAGAGCTCAGGCTTTGTCTATATTGTTATCCTAGCACCTTAACTCACAGATCCATATTGTTCTGTAAAAAGTAGAAGTAGAACCTGAGCCTTGGGCAGAAAAATGTTCTCTCAAAGAATTGGAATGAGATTAGAGTTGTGTTCTGCATGCATATCCCCTGTTGATTTAATGGAAACATGCAAATGCCCAATTTGCCAAATCACTCTCTACGTGGCTAATCTGCAGAATAAATTAGCCAGTCCAGAGCCTTTGTGGGAAAAAGTTCAGTCATGAAAGATTCCTATCTCCAAGAAAGATTACATTATTCAGATATCAGCACATAATTCTTGTTTTGTAAGTGTTGTGTACATTACAGGCATTTACACTTTTTTGTTGAAGAATGGTGCACAGAATCTGCAGTATACAGATTATACTTGTAGAAAAATCCTTTACTTCTGTGATCATTAATGCATATATGCACATTTTAGCTTGCATATCTGTGGAAGAACATATGGCAATACTTTTCTTATCAGGTGTTATGAGTTAGATCCTTATACTGAGTATTACATTTTTAAGTGCTGCATTCATAGGCATTTGTAATAAATGTCCATGACATTTGCATGATGCCATGACACAAATGTCATTACTTGTCCCCCTTCACTATCCCTGTGTATGAGCATGGCTATGTTGATTTTCTTAGATCTGTCTTCTTGTTGAGGATCCACATATTGTCATTCTTTTTCTTAATTTCATTATAGGGCTGTGTTGACCATCCAGTTGTGATAACAGAGGCTGTCTGCAACCCTCTCTATTCAAGGCAAATGATGTCAGAGCTCCTGTTTGAATGTTACCAAGTTCCAAAGGTTTCTTATGGTGTGGACAGCTTGTACAGTTTCTATCATAACAAAAGGCAAAGCTGGCCTTGCAGTGGTCTCATAGTTTCTTCTGGGTACCAGTGTACTCATATTTTACCAGTCTTAGATGGCAGGTGAGTTTTTCCCTGTTTACCCATAGAATGCAATGTTTCATGAATTAATAAGTAGTTACCCTTTGTGTGTGTGTGTGTGCAGTTTAAACTTCTGGCCTGGGTTTTGGGATAGCAGGTGCCTTGATGAATAGCTTACATTGAAGACTGGACAGAAGAACTCTGACTCTGTCCTCCTGAATTCTCTCAGTGGACTTTGATAGAATCAATTAAGATACTTTGATAGAATCAATTAAGATACTTTTCCTTATATCTCTGGTTGGGACTTGGGTGCACATTATAACAGTAAGGTCAGCCCTATATGAAGAGTGGAAGGCTGTGTTTTGGGAATCTTTGCTATACTTCTTGTGCACCAGGTTTTGAGATATCTATAGATTTTGTCTTTTTTTACGTTTTCTTTTTAATATCTACATCAAAGAGTTCCAACTTCTTTCCCAAGGGCTGCACCAGGCTTATGGCATACTGATAGCCACACCCCAAAAGTGGTGCTGGGAATGCCGAGGGCTATTTTGAAAGGGAGCTTGAGGCGTTAGGTGAAATATGTACTGTCAGGGTCTGTAGGCTTTAAATCATCCAAATCACTCCAGGGCTTCTTAAAGTTCCTCAGTTTCCCCAAGTGCAAAAAAAAAAAAAAAGGCCAAACTTATTTTACTCTGTGTATTTGGAGGGGGGGCAGGAACGAGGTGCCTTTGACCCAAGAAGTATACTGATGGGTGAAATATTGTCCTTGGGCAATTATTTTTACATCCCTGATCTACATGAAACTGCTAACATAGTTTAGAGGTATGAGTTGACAGGTTGTCATAATGTGGTTCTTTTTCTTTTCCATCTCCTAAATTCAAGGAAGTAATGGAAAAACCCTAGACAGGCTTGTGTGGGCAGTTTAGGCTTAATGAGGAACAAACAACCTGAAATATGTGCCAGATAAGATTGAAGACTGCACATTAGAGAAGTTTCTCATCTCAATGAAAGCATATGACTGAAGGGCCAGTTCAGCTATTTGGAGCTCTCCTATAGTCAGTGACTATATTTGCATTATATTCTGCTAAACTTAATGTGGATTCTATGGTTTTGCATTGGTGTGTTATATAAATGTAGCCGTTGAAGTTTATTGAACAGTGGTTAGTGCAAAACATGACTTAGCACAATACATGAATCTAGCCAATGTAATTTTGGAGATTAGAGGTGTCTTTTACAAACTGAAGCCTTATTTAAAGAATACTCTGCTGATTTAGTATGTATGTCTGTGATATCCAAACTTGATTTTCACAATCTATTGTGCTGAAAACCTCAGTTGGTACAGAATGTGGCAGTTAAAAACACTTAGCAGAAACTAATTTTCATTCATCTGTTCTATACCAGTTACACTGGCTGCTTATCACTTTTCTGACTCACCCAATTTAATGCTCTGTGAGAAGGTGAGAGCCAAAGTCAATCCTTTTTCAGTTGTCTTAAATCTCTTATTTAGCCTTTGGGAGTGGATTAAATGTATTTTTTCTTCTGTTCAATAGGATACTGTGTGTGTGTGTGTGTGTGTGTGTGTGTTGAATAATTTTCATTGAAAGCATGATTTAGTTTTTGTGGATTGGGATATTTTAACTATATTTTAATTATTTCAGTATACACAAGTCATGAAGATCTCTTAAGATTTTCCACTGTATGGATGAAAACCATGATAATATTGACTGTGGATATGGCATAAATGGCTATTTGAAAACTCTTTAGAACTTGGATTCTGATAGAAAAAATTAAACTATTCCTTACAGCCTAATTTTTCCTCCATTTTTGTGAATTGTTAGGTTAGATGCTCGAAATTGTAAGCGTATAAATCTTGGAGGATGCCAGGCAGCTCTGTATCTTCAGCGTCTCCTGCAACTGAAATATCCAGGGCATTTTGCTGCCATCACACTCAGCCGTGTGGAAGAAATACTCCATGAGCACAGCTATATTGCAGAAGATTATAAAGAAGGTAAGGCATTGCTGTCAATGGTTATCATGCAGCTTTATTTCCTTTGTGTCCTATTATTTTGTAAAACTTACTTGGTAGTCTTAAGAAGAAGAAAAAATAGTGAATTTTATATTATTGAAGAGGTATGAAAGTATCTAAAATTAAAGTCATGCTGATTGGAGGTTGCTTTGATCTTGTTTGCAAATCTGTATTAAAACAAGGCGTTACAACATATGTAATTATTGCCACACCCAAAAAATACAGTATTTTCGTTTAGTTCTAACAAACAGTAGTTTTATAGCAGTGCAGATTTTCACAAGGAGTCAATGTGCTCTTAAAGAAGATGGAAGTGTGTTTGTAACCGGGAGTCTTGTGATCTGAATGGGAGAGCACAGTTGGTTTTGGTTGGAGTTGCATTCCATTAAAGGGCCAGGTTAGCATGCTATGTAAATTCAGCCACAATGGCTTATTCCAAAAAACACAATTAAAAAAATGATGTCTTAGTATGAATCCAGCTAATGTAATTTCAGTGACTAAGATAAAATAACTACAGCCTTATCTGAAGAACACAAATCTTTTAACATATGCTTTGATTTCATATATCTGTAATTATTGCAATGAACTCTATGTATGGTTCTTCAATCTAGGAAGTTCAACAAATATAGGGTGTAGGCTAAAATACATATTCTTGGTTAAATCAACAAATGTGTTTAGAATGTGAGTAGAGAGATGAAAAAGTGACCCACTGGAAAATTGTGTTTCCTTATTATGTATTGGAATAACAGACACCAATATACTGCATATTGTTATATGCTGATGCTAATTTGTTTTCTAGGAATAAGCACAAAGCTGAGTGGTTAATACAGTAATACAGGGATTGGATAGATTGTTTTATTTTTTATATTTTTGTTTAACTTATACCATGAATGATTTGATATATTCTCTTATGAATATATTATGAATTGTCAAGTCTTTTTTTATTGTAGGACATATAATTACAATGTACAAATAAATATTGCAATTTGGAAATTCTGTACTTCCGTCATTGTTTAGATCCAAACAACATAATCAGAGCAAACCAATGGAAACCAGTGGATTTTAAGCTGGACTTAATTAATTTTAAGTGTCATTGATTTTGGTGGATGTATGGTAATTATGCTACAAACCGGATCCAAGCTACCTCCCCCACCCCAAAATCCATTTGAACTCTACTTTTGTCATTATTGGAAAACTGTTAAAACATGATTGTTCTGACAGATGTAATGGTGTGTGGGAAAGATCTTGGGAGATGAGGTGAAGAGATGCTGTCCAGGGAATGGTGAGATAAGAGACAGCATAGCCTGCAGCTGCATAGTGGGCAGAGCAAGAGGCTCAGAAGGGACCATCCCTAAGTTCTCGGGCTGTAAAGGAGATGGCAGGAGAATTGTACTTTCAGACTTGCAAGATTCTGCTAATGTAGCTTAACAATAAAGTAGAATTAGTTCGTCTGGTCATGTTTCCTGTCTAGTCTACCTGATAAGACTGACACAAGTCTCTGGAGATTAACACCTGCACTTTGTCTGCCATCTGTTTGACAGCATGCTTTTTAAAAAATTTGTATTGTTTTTAATCAGCATTATGAGTTACTTGATGGTGTTGCTCATTTGTGATTTAGGTTTGTGAACTGTCTAGAGATGTGCAATTGTGCAATAAAATACCAGTAATGAAAAATAAATAAATAAAGCACAGTAGGCTAGATCCATATTTGATTCCCTTGAAATCAGTGGGATAGCTTAATAATTCTGTTTATTTGGGACCTAAGAAGAACTAGTTTAGTTAGGTGCTAGTTAAATGTATTGTGCGATCTGATCAACAATTGGCTTTATGAAGGACAATGAGAAGAACTGCTTCTCTAATTTTTATGATACTGATTATTGACAAGTTCCATTGATGCATGCTGTTGGCCTTTTCTAGCCTTGTGGTTTCCACTGGAATTTTCTCAGAGAGTAGTACTTTGCCCTGTGGTTTCTGCTTTCCAATTTCTGTTTTCTGGCATCGTAGACATACGAAGTTTCCTGTTCTTTCTTCTCTTCTACAGATTGGTGCAAAGTCACTCATAAAATGCATGTAGGTTTTCCCACAGTGGGCAATTTATTTATTAAGCATTGGGTAGCAGTTACTTTTCTCTCTCCTGCCACTCCCCCCCCCAAATTTTACATGGCTTTTCCTTAATTTCTCAGGGTATTTGCATAGGGGGCTGTTGATTGCATCTGGGCAAAATTTGTTACAGTGTATTAAAACTATTTGAACAGAGATGCAAAAGTGGCGATCACCTGAATACTATGAGAACAATGTGCATAAGATGCAGCTGCCTTTTTCAAATAAGCTGCTGGGGAGTACAGTCACATCTGAGGAGAAGCAAGAGCGACGGCAGCAACAACTTCGACGGCTTCAGGAACTTAATGCTCGCCGTCGAGAAGAAAAGCTTCAGCTGGATCAAGAGAGACTGGAGAGGCTGCTCTATGTTCAGGTAACTCTGTGCACTGCTGGAGTTGTAGTTTTAGTTTGGAGGAAGTAAAAATGAGAAGCTGAGGGAGGATTATTCTTGGAACTGCATTCTCAGTAAAATATTTGTTCTCAGAGTGTCATTTGGATACCATACCAATGAAGGAATTAAAGATATCACATGGTTGCCAGCAAATAAAAACAAGTTACTTATTAATTTAGAAATCAATTTGTTTCTCTTCTCCAAATACCAGATGTAATTTTCTGCAGAAATTCCCTTGATTATAATAGGAAATAGGCAGTGAAAGCTAGCGTGGTACCATGTACCACGTTCATGGTAAAAGTAAACTCTTTTTAATGCTTCTGTTTGTAGGAACTGCTAGAAGATGGTCAGGTGGATCAGTTTCACAAAGCTTTGATGGAACTGAACATGGACTCTGCTGAGGAACTTCAGTCTTATATCCACAAGCTAAGTTTGGCCATTGAGCAAACTAAGCAGAAAATCCTCCAGGCAGAAGTGAGTGTTGAAGTGGACGTTGTGGACAGCAAGCCAGAGGTACCACACGTCAGCATCAGTATATGGAAAACATATGTTTGTTCTCTTGATTGTGCAACTTCACACAAGTGTACGCATTTCTCCTACTGCTCTTTGTTTTGCCGTCCTTCATTTGTTGTTAAGAATCATTTGCAGCATGATAAGAAGATTGTACCCAATAAAAATCCTCTGAAAAACAAATATATTCCAGAGGGCTTGGAAAGTTTTGCGGGGGAAAAAAAGCTCTAGGGAAATCCCAAGGGGGAAAACATCTTCTTCCCTAAAACAAGCAACTGAAAAGAAACCCATGAACACTGAACAGACTCATATAATACTGAATGCAAGTTGGAAAAGTATAAGCGACACATGTTAAAATTTTCATGTATATTAATCTCAGTGCCTAGTAGCCCTATCTACTTACACTGCTTTATTTTAGCACTCTTGAGAAAAATTTACTTATTCATGGATTAAATGTTTCCTATTTAAGGCCAAGGAGTCAGGAGATAAAGCCTGTTTAAGTTGGAGGTGTGACAAGTTCCTCTTTTTACTATTGTTCCCCAACCACTCATGTTTCACTATCAGAAAAAGCTGAGGACACTGAGACAAGGGCATACTAGAACAGACATTGTAGTAATGATTGAGGAAATGGGAACAAAGTAGGTACATACATGCTCTATTAGTTCTGAGATATTTAGCTCAACAGGTATACTTAACAGAAATTGCCATTACTGAATCTTATGGAGATGATTTGCCTGTACAAGGATTCTTGCTATAAAATTAGAATGTGATTGCTAGAACAATTTTGTGGAGTCCTTGAGGTTCTCTGAGCTTGGTTGTTTTCTTGCAAATGTTTCATTACCTGGCTAGGTAACATCTTCAGTTCAGGATGGGGTTTGCTCTTTGTTTATATACTGTGGCATGCCCTGCCAATGTTGGTGGGGGTGTGGGTTTTGTTTTGTTTTATTTTTTCCCTCTTGTAGTTCCTTGATTAGGGTATTGTTTACTGCTTGACTGTATGTCTGGTGGTAATCTTGGTG